GCCCTACTTTCCAGGTGGGTGGTTCAAGATGCCTGGGACACCATTGGCCAGTAACGGTCTCTGTGCATATTAGAAACAGTTGTCTCTACCTGCCCCCAGAGGGAGAGAGCCTAATGCCAAGTAGCACATTCAGTTGCTACTCCCCCATTTGGCTAGAGACCCTTGTTCAGGGTACAACCTGAATTGGGGTTCCAGGGAGGGGGGATCAGCAGAGCTGGAGAATGACTCTCGTCCTTCCCTAGCTGTATGAGCTCGATGCAGACCCCAAGAGGAAGGAATTTCTGGATGACCTGTTTAGCTTCATGCAGAAGAGGGGTGAGTAGGGTGAAGTGGGAAAACGACCCTGGAATTGCCTCATACTTCCAGGTTTTGAGGAAGGGAGACCCCATGGTTTAGTAACCAGGTTGGGTCCTCCGTGCAGAGGCCTGAGCTTAGCCGCACCTGTCCTTTGGGCCCTCAGTAGCGTCTTTAACCTCTGACCCTGCCCCCCTCCTCCACCCCAGGATTAATTAGTGGCCAGCCCACTGGCAGGTTAATGAGTGTGGAATCAATTGGGAGGGTGGGAATGGGAAATGGTAGGGGGGTGCCCTGAGGTGGGAGGGTTCTGAGGCTGGAGGGCTGGGAATGGCTTGGTTTTCTATTGAGAGCCTTCCTCCAGCCTTGTCTCCTCAGTTCCTGCCTTGCCTGGGGCTGCCCGGGATGTGCTCTACAGCAGGAAGGACTGGGATTAGACTGAAGGAAGAACTTCCCAAGGGTTAGGCTGAGACCATGTGAGTTGGGGCTCCCCAGGAGGCGGAATTCCATTTCAGGAATCTCAGCTTGAAGAGAATGCAAGAAGGGTAGGAGGGCATCAGGGTGGGCAGCAGTCCATCACTTCAGCTTCTCCCCAGATTCATGGGACTGAACACTGACTCATTATCTCTCTCTACAAAGCTAATTAACTCACTCAGAGCGAGGCCTGATAAGCCGCTAATTAACTGACTGCACTGCACCTCCCTCCCATAGTGCAGTTGCTGGCCCAAGTCGCCCTGCCCTCGCCCACCCCTTCCCAGTCCCATTCTTTCTAAGGACCCTTGGTGGGGCCCTGGGTCCTCTTGCTCCCCAGGGAGGCCTGGTCGTTCTGGTTCCAGTGTCCCCTCTCTACTTCTTTCTGAAGGCCTCCCCTCCGCGGGAGCTGGGTCGGGTAGGAGGAGGAGAAGGTGGCCTGCCCTCACCCTCCTCCCAGCTCTGCCTCCCTTTGGTCCCTGCCTTCCTTGGCTCCAGTACAGGGGGAGGGGGTCCCGCGGGGCCGATAATTTTCCCCCATTAATCAGGCCGCAGCTAATTGTTCGGGTCCAAAGGCAGCGGCGGAAGGGGACCAGATCGGTAAGGAATTAACTGGGGCCCATCGCTCAGCGCAGACAGGCCCCTTTGTCAGGTCTGGCTGGCGGGGGCGGCGCGGGCTGCGGGGTTGGCGGGCCGAGGCGGGGGCTGATTCTTCTCCTGCCCGCCACCCCCTTGCCTCGGGCAGCCACCCGCGGGCTGCTGTTTAGGGAACTCAAGTTCTTAACACTGCACAGAAGTCCTTCCTTCGGTCTACCCCAGGGGTCAGCAAACCAAAACTTAGTGGCAAATCCAGGTGCCTGGGAGAAGAATGATTTTTCACATGTTTAAATAATTGGAAAAAAGGAAAAGGTGCATGAAATTTTCAGACGTGAGATATTCGAATTTCGGAGCCTGTAAATAAAGTTTTAAGCATCCTCTGGTTGGACTTAGGCTACCGATGCAAAATTGAGCAGTTGTGACAGTTAGGCCTGCAAAGCCAAAATATTAAGCATCTGACACTTGAAAGAAGTATGCCCGACACCTGATCTAGCTTCCCCTAGCTTCCCGTCCTTCCTGCTAAGATGGAGGCCCTGGGTACTCAGAGGGCTCTGCCTGTAATCCCACTTCCCCATCCCTCCTTTCCTCCCTGCCTGTGTGTGGGGTTCCTGGTTCTTCACCGCCTGGGGATGCCTGGTCTTAGCACTGACTCCCTGTCCGCTCCCAACTAGGAACGCCGGTGAACCGCGTGCCCATCATGGCGAAGCAGGTGCTGGACCTGTACGCGCTGTTTCGCCTGGTGACCGCCAAGGGCGGCCTGGTGGAAGTCATCAACCGAAAAGTGTGGCGGGAAGTCACGCGTGGCCTCAGTCTGCCCACCACCATCACCTCTGCCGCCTTCACTCTCCGCACCCAGTGAGGCCAGGGGCGCGAGCAGAAGGGGAGGGGCGCGCGGTGCAGTGTAAGCAGGTGCTGGACCTGTACGCGCTGTTTCGCCTGGTGACCGCCAAGGGCGGCCTGGTGGAAGTCATCAACCGAAAAGTGTGGCGGGAAGTCACGCGTGGCCTCAGTCTGCCCACCACCATCACCTCTGCCGCCTTCACTCTCCGCACCCAGTGAGGCCAGGGGCGCGAGCAGAAGGGGAGGGGCGCGCGGTGCATTGGGTTTGGGAGAGCAGGGACGCGGGGCGCGGAGGGCGCTGGGGCGGGCGTCTGGGTGTGGGACTTGATCTGCTGGGCCCTGTCGCTCACGCGCCCTCCGTCCGCCCCCAGGTACATGAAGTATCTGTACCCGTACGAGTGCGAGACGCGAGCGCTCAGCTCTCCCGGGGAGCTTCAGGCTGCGATAGACAGCAATCGCCGCGAGGGCCGCCGCCAAGCTTACACCGCCGCCCCGCTCTTCGGCTTGGTGGCGCCGACCTCTCGGGGCGCTCTGGGCTGCGCCACAGGCTCTGGTCCCGCCCCGCCGGAGCCGCAGCCGGGCCCCGGCCACGCTCCGGGCCCAGCCTCCCGCCTGCCGGCGCACGCTTGCGCCCAGCTGAGCCCGAACCCGGTTAAGAAAGGTGCGAAGGGAGAAAGGCGGAGACCTGGGGGTCTCTGAGGTTTATGCGGGCATTGAGTTACAGGAAACATTAATATGTAGGGGCCCTGAGGTCTGGGAGCAGTAAGGCCTGACCAGTCTCTTGTGGTTTGGAAGTCGCTGAAGTATAGGGGTGCTGAGGTTTCGGGTCCGTAAAGCCATGAGAGAGGTCTGAGGCTGTCACTCAATAAAATGTCCTTTGTCCAAGCAGCACCATTCCATGCCAGGGCTTCTAATTGGAGGAAGTTTGTGCCTTCTGTGACCTGAATTATTTAACATCCATGAACAAGGAAACTGCCCAATTCTCCTGGCACTTCGCCTCTACAATTTCAGAGCCTCCTGGCTGAGGCTCTGGATGAGGAGAGACTGAATTCAGTGCATGAGCTCTGGTGACTTCTTTTGTCCTGGGGCCTGGGAGAGAAGCAAATGAAGAGACTAATAGGTTGGGCTAGGGAAACTAAATGATCTGTTTTTCCAGAGGAGAGCAGAATTCCAACCCCTCGTCTGACACTGCCTGTGGGTCTGGCCTTGGGACCTGCACGGGAGAAGTTGGCACCAGAGGAGCCCCCAGAGAAAAGGGCTGTGCTGATGGGGCCCATGGACCCACCTCAACCTGGCTTACCCCCCAGTTTCCTGCCCCGTGGCAAGATTCCCCTCAGGGGTGAGGAGGGACTTATTGGTGAGGGGGCTTTGGGCCTATGCACTGAGTGAAGATAGATCCATTGCATGAGAAGCGTCAGAGGTAGGGTAGTCAGATCTCTCTATAGATAATTACAGATGTAATTACAGATGTGGGCTGTCATTGGAATGGGCACTGTCTTTAGGGATGGAGGGAGGGCTTCTGAGCCTGAATTTGATTCCCCAAAATGTGATCCCCCTGCCCCCTCTTGGACAGAAGAGCGTATGGATGGGCCTCTCAATCTGGCAGGCAGTGGCATCAGCAGTATCAACATGGCCCTAGAGATCAACGGGGTGGTCTACACTGGTATGGGTATTGTGGGTTGTCTATACTGGCATGGGGTCTGTGGTATTTAGACTAGCATGGGGATTTTAGATTTTCTCTACTAGCATGAGATTCAGGAATATCTGAACTTGCATGGGTAACGTGGTGTTCAGTGGATTGCTACACTGGCATGGGTTTAAGAGTGTGTCTACATGGCATGATGTCCAAGGCATGACCTTTCTGGCATGGGTACTGGGGATATCTGCCTTGTTATGGGCCTACGTATTCGTGTAAATATTTCTTGTTTACCTGTTTAAGGGTATCTACATTAGCTTAGGAGTTACTCACCAGTCCAGGGGCTTGTTCTCATTGGTTTATGATAGGGTGTGTGTGTGTAGTATTCTAGCAATCAGAACACTGACTTTTGTTCCTTTCTTCTGTTTCCATGCCCCATCCTCTGCTTGTATTTGCCCTCTACTATCTCCTTACCCCTTTGCCAGGCGTACTGTTTGCTCGACGCCAGCCTGTGCCAACTTCCCAGGGTCCAACAAACTCTGCACCCCTGTCCTCTACAGGGCCCCCTTCCAGCACCTTGCCCTGAGAGTGCCTGCTCTAAACAGTCCCAGGCCCATTGCTGAGGGGGGAAGAGACCCCACCTCTGCCGTGCACCTCGATTCTTGCTGGGTACCCATTCTGGGACCCAGCTCTTAGAGTTGATCCACCCCACCGCCATGCCAAAGGGTTTTCTTTTGATGTTCCAACTACCTCATTGTAAAAGGAGGACACCTCCTTCCTGGCAAATTCCAGCAGCATCTACCAAAGAGTTCTTCCCTCATTAGACCACATTATTTCCTTATGTAACCCATATCGGTGTCATCTTTAGAACTCCACCCCTTTGAGTGAACCTTGCTTTTTTTGGGGGAGCCAAATGAAGGAGTTGGGTTTGGGTTTGCGAAGGAGAAATCCCTCAGGTTACATCTGGAAAATAAAGTTACAGTTTCTCCCTTTCTAGTGCCTCTTATTCTTTTTATTTGTTTTTAATTAATTAATTTCTTAATTTGCCAGAGGGTGTGTGTGTTTGATGGGGAATAGGAGGGGGAGTGAGAACCCCCCCATGGGGCATGGTCATGCCACAATCCCTTCTCCTCAGCCTCTCCTTCCTTTTGGGATTTTGGACATGGCTGACATGTTTTACAAACCTCTGGATCCAGGACCTGAACCACACAGTCAGCTATGTGGGATCCAGTCACTCTAACCACCATGGGCTGGCCCCAGTGCCTCCTTTTCTTGTTTGGGTCTGGAAGCTGGGAAAGCAAGATAGTCGGTGGTAGACAGGCTGCATTAGGCCATGGGCTTTGAGAGGGGAAAGCAAAAGAGTGAAGCGCTGTTGAAAATTACAGAGCTCCATCTCTTAAATCACACTACTTTGAATTCAAATCCTGATTCTGTCACTATAGTGCTGGTGGCCTTGGGCAAGTCACTTAATCTGAACTTTAGAGGACCCCAAAAGTTTGTGATATCTCTGGGAGCCTCCTATATTGATCTATGTGAAGGGACTTATCCCGGAATAGTAGGTGTATTTTATACGTGCAACTATAAAATCTGGTACCCTAGAATGGGAGGTGGGGAGGGCGGGGAAGGCGAGGGCAAAGATTGTTTTGTTGGCAGGACGCTGTCTGGGTAGCGCCGGCACCCTAAGCGTTGCCTAGGTAACCAGTTTTTGACACCTTTCCCTCTCGGCTGGCGAATACTTCCGGCACTCAAGGGCCGAATCGTGGCGTCATATCCTACGTGGAGCTCAAGCCCGTGCACTCGGATTGGCCAGCCTTCCTATTTGGACGGAAGTCCCGCCCTCTGGTGTTTTCTGTCCGAGGCGGGGCGGCGGTAGCGATGGCGGCTCTGACAGACGTGCAGCGGTTACAGGCCCGAGTAGAGGAGCTGGAACGTTGGGTGTACGGGCCAGGTGGGGCGCGCGGCTCGCGGAAGGTGAGAGGTCTGGCCCGGAATTCCTTTTTTGGGACAGAGCAAGAGTGGCCCACTCGCCCTTCTTTTGGGAAACGCGCGGCCACCCCAGTCTGCAACTTGGCCTTTGAGATAACAAAGGTTGGGACCTCCGGCAGACTGGATCCCCAGGGTTCATTACCGTGTAGGGCTCTGCGAGTAGTTAGGGCTGTTGAGATGGGCACAGTGCCATCTGTGACTACGACTACGCCCCTACCTTCCCGAGCTAAGTAGGGAGACCTGACACCCTCGAAAAGCTGACTGATGAGTTCGTGTCCGCAATAGAAGTGCCGCCACGGAGCCCTGCATAATCAATTGCTAAGTAAATTGTGGACCTGAGCCTCGTAGGAGGCAAAGCAGAGATGAATAAGGAAGACTCCAAAAGATGAGAGGTGGCGTCTGAATAGGAGGGGCAGGGATTGGGTACTGGGTGTTCAGCTTTGACTCGGAACTCCTTCATGCCAGTGGCTGAGATTTAGCAACTATGAGTCTCAGTTGCCCTCCCATCCCATTTCTACTGTGGGCAGATCTTTTACTAAAGAATTCAGGTGGAGTATCAGGCATACCCTGGAGTTCAGTGCATCAGAGGTCACGATGTCTGTACACTTCTTGGGGAATTAGTCGTCACTAGTAGATTGCCCTCCCATTTCAGAACTAACTTCTTAAACATTCCCTCCCGTTGGCGTCTATGATTGTAACCCTTCTGGTTTCCCTTCTGCCTCTCTGACTACTGTCTCTCAGTCTTATTTGCCTCTCCATATGTTTGCATCTTGAATAGCAGGATTCCTCACCTTCTACCATAAAGCTTGGGTGAGTCCATTAGCTTCCTTAGCCTCTCCCCCTGTTTGATCCTTTAATACTGGGATTTTACCTTTTATCCTTGAACCCTAGATAGTAGGCTCATTCACTTACATAGTTTCAGTTACCATTTACATGTCATTATGTCTTTTTTTTAAAGAATTTTATTTTTTTATTTTTTTAATTTGACCAGAGAGAGAAAGGAAAAAGGAGAAAATTGGCCGCCAGGTCTGGGACTCAAACTGTGGTCGGCCATGTGGGAATCCAGTGCCCTTAACCACCATACCACCTGCCAGCCCCACATGTCATTATATCTTAAATATGTATCTCTGGTCCAGGCTTTTGTTTGTTTCTTTGCTTTGTTTTTTTAGCTTTTTGCCCTAGGATGTGTGCACTCACGAGAGAGAGAGAGAGAGAGAGAGAGAGAGATGGAGAGTGAGAAATTACCCCTCAGAGGGATGGCCACTTCACAATCACATCTCTGTTCTCTTCTTGAGAGTTTGGGCACTCATGCACACACACCCAGTGCGTTTTTTAAGCTGTCATGTCCAGAACTTGAACCATGGAGTCAGTCATGTGGGATCCAACACCTTAACTACTATGCCACCGGGTCTCAATTATTTTTAAAATGTATTTCTTTCACAAGTGATAGAGGCCCAGAGAACACCCCCAATAGAATCCTGACACTGCAGTCTATCCCTGACCTTCAGTCAGCCCTGGATTCTGGACCATGCCTGGCGTTCTCAGAGATATCTCTGGACTTGAACTGGGAACATTCCCATGCAGGATTGTTTTGCAGAGCGTCATGTTTCACCTCTGGGTCACCATATGGCCCCTCTCTGCTCCACATTTCTGTTTTGAAAGCCAGATTTGTATGTCCACTTGTCTACTGGACTTTTCCACATGGGTATCCAGGAGGTATCTCAAACTGGATCCATATGCTCTTTTCCTCTCCCCTAACCTGATTCTCTTCTGCATTCCCCAGTACAGAGATTGCACCATCATTGGGATCTTAGAGATTGTCCTGGACTTCTCCACCTCCCAAACTAGTGATGATGAGGGGGGGAATGGAGCTAGTGTAGACAAACCAGTTTAGAGGTCAGTGTAATTATCCAGTCATAAGAATAATGGTAATGAATGCCTGGATAAGGATACTTGCATTTCTTGGGACCAGCAGTTAGCGTAATGGCTATGTTGCTGGACTCCCATGTAGTAGATTGCAGTTCAAGTCCCGGACCCGGTGGCTTAGAACTCACGCCGGGCACGTATGCGTGCGTGCCCAAGATCCCAGGAGAAGAATGGAGGAGAAGGGATTGTGGCGTGACCATCCCCCCTGGGAGGTGATTTCTTGCTTTCTGTCTCTCTGTCTCTCTCTGTCTGTC